GTTTCGAGTCATAGACAATTGTTTGATGTAATTCACCCATGGTAGAATAAAAACAGTCGTATTCGTCGAATGAATGCATGTGACTAGGATCGATAACCAATTGAAAGTGTATAAAAGTAGGATAATAGCTTGGATAGATGTTGTAAGTGTTTTGTTGTTTTTGGAGAAGCAATATTCGACCTAGTATTATTTAAAGATAAAAGTTAAGTGAGTGTGATGTCATACACTCTTCTTCTCCAAGACAAATCAACGTCCCTCTATATTCCGAAAAAAAATGCACAAAAAAATCCCTCACAAAGAAGAAAAAAAACAAAATATATATGTCTCCTCTTCCAACGCATCCTCCTCTCATGTATCATATGCCAACTATGCTCTCCTACTCAGAGAGTGACTCATATGAAGAGAGACGGAAAAGAGGGAGAGAAAAGAACAAGAAAAAGAAAAGAAAAAAAAGAAGCAAAGCATGCAACGAAGCGTGTCCAGAAGCTCATTTAGAACATGTATCATGGCCATCGGCCATGACAGTGAGATATAACTTACATCATTCAGCATAGCATGGCTAGAAATGATTGTACAAATATTCAGGGCAATGAATCAATATAATCATCTAATGTAATAAATTAACATATGGTTTTTTTTGATTGTTGGAAATTCTTTTCTAATGATGATATTCGATTGTAATGTTATCGTTCGAAGAATCTCTTTATTTGGTTTCAACACTGTTCAATATGTTGTTCGGGTATTGAGATTGTATTTCTATGATCACGGTAGTCTTCCGGCTAAAATTAAATTGAAATGAACTGAATGAATTTTATTTTACAAGATTGATTTATTCTTACTTGTCTTGTTGGAATTCAACGATAGAATTTTATCCCATGATAACATTAAGTATTATACCGAACAAGTAAGATGAAGTAAAATAAGATAAACTAAAGCATGTAATTGATGATTATTGATTTATTAGTGGATTATCACACATTAATCACATTCCAATACGTCAAAAGTTACGTCGAATTATAGACTGACGGCCTCGGAAAATCTGAGCCTAATTTTATTACTATGAGAATCAGCACTGAACCCGGAGTATTTTTCATACTTTTATTTTCTCTTTTTGTCACAACCCAACTTTTCACATCCGAGGTTTCCCTCAGGTATCGAATAAAAAGGGTGTGGGTTTGGGTGCGGGTGTGTGTCAGTGTGGGTGTGCAACAAGCGCGGAACTACATCTACACTTAAACCCACAAGCACGCTCACACCCACACGCACACACCCATAACCTCGAGCGCTAAACCACGTCTTCACTCAAACCCACACCCACACTCCATACTTACACCCAAACTCGCACCCACACCGTGAAGCGCTGAACCATGTCTACACTCAAACCCACACTCACACCACACACCCAGACCCCACACCAACCCACCGACATCCCACACCCACACCCACACCCACCCACACCCACACCCGCCAGTGTAAAACAGCCGCACTATCTCTATATTTCAATCTGAATTAGTTCAGAACAAAAATTTAGTCTGCACTAGTTCGCTTTGAATAGTTCAGGTCAAAATTTCATTTTGTTCTAGTTCAAATCAAAATTTCAATCTGAACTAGTCCGCTTCGAATAGTTCAGATCAAAATTTCATTTTGTCCTAGTCCGAGTCAAAATTCTAATCTGAACTAGTTCACTCGGCAATCATTGTAATCTCAGCTAGTTCAAATCAAAATTGCAATCTGAACTAGGGCGATTTTAAACTCAACTGCATTTCAATCTGTCCTACGACATATATTTGTTTTTCTTTGGTAAAAGATAAACATCAGCTTCCAATAAAAAAATACCAGATCGGAGAAAAAAAGTAACAAAAAAAACGTAGGCGTTGAAATGAAATATGATGAAAAGACAAAAGAAAAGCACCTAGCCAATGCTCACTAGTCACTTTTCATCATTAAATAAGTAACAACAATAATAATACCTTTCAACTGTTCATTAGATGGATTTCTGCCATGTTCAATATTATTGGTTAAAAGTCCAAGAGAAATTCATAATAATCAAAGGCTAAAATTTTTTAAAAAAGAGCTTTGTTGATTAAAGAATATATTGCTGTAAGATACCGCACCAAAATAAAAGAGAAGATATAAAGGTCAGTGAGTTCGTTTCACGTGCAATATCTGACCGAATGTTTTATTCTAATAATAAAGAGAGAGAGAGAAAACAACAACAAAAAAAAAGAAAAAGGAGGACGTGTTATATAATGAATGGACAAACAGTAACAACAACAAAATAATAATAGAGGCCAGGTCCTAACAATTGCTTATTGTCAATATTAAATAAGAGTTTTTGGTTCATAAATACTTTCACTTATGGTTTTGTGTGGATATATAACACCACCCTTAATAAATAATTCATCTTGTACTGATACATCAAGTCCAAGTACGCTCGTACTTTCCACACGAACCCGTTGACCAATATTACATCCCCAACCGATAATACAATCAGCAATACATGAATGACTTTTGATTAGTGAATCACCAAGTATTGTACAATTTTTTAAGCATACATCATCTTGTATAATAACTCGTGGACCAATAACAACATTAGGTCCAATACGACATCGTTCACCAATTTTAGCTGTTGAATCCACTAAAACATTGCCATCTGTACCATTTTCGCGTGTTAATCGATCAGGATTGGAACGTCGAATATAATCAAGATATTGACTCGTTCCAGTTAGATAATCTTTTGGTTGACCGACATCCATGCAAAAACCTTTAAGTTCAAATGCATATAATTGTCTATCAACAGCCATAGCAGGAAACATTTCCTTTTCAATCGATGTTGGCTGTAATTGAAGTCTATCAAGTACACTCGTACTAAATATGTAAAAACCAGCATTGACATCATTGGAAACATATTCAAATGGTTTTTCCACAAATCGACCAATTATACCAGTGTCTTTCTCATAGATAACAACACCACATTTCGACGGTTCTTCAGCTTTAGTAACAGCAATAGTGGCTTCACAATTTTTTTCTTTATGAAATTTAATCATTTCATCGAATGGAAATTCACATATCACATCGGAAAGAAGGACAAAAAATGGGTCGTCACCTACTTCAAGATATTGACGTGCTAATGCCAATGCACTAGCTGTTCCTAAAGGTTTCTTTTCTCGTGAAATTGACATCTTAATATTTAATCGTTTAGCTTCTACCTCCATTTCGCGATGAAGCATGTCTGATAGATAACTAACAGCTAAAATTACATGCGTAACACCAAACTGAGCTAATGCTTCAATTTGATAGAGAACCATCGGCTTATTACAAAATTCCACCAATGGCTTTGGTTTTGTTAATGTTAATGGACGTAAACGTGTTCCATAACCACCGGCAAGAATAATTGCTTTCATCTTCTTCCCCTATCAAATATAAACTATAAAATTTTTTTCCCTTAAACGTTTGGTAAGTTGTAATAAGGAACTTTTCTTGTCAGTATGTGGAGCACAACATATCTTTTGTCCTTACACATTTCAAGTTTTGCGTTCTCTACTGTGGAACTCACATATATTTTCGAAGAAAATAGTGAGTGTAAGTTTTAAGGTCAAGCTTTTGCGGCTTCCCGTAGGCCCCCTCCTATTACAGACAAGCTCCCAATTACAGACAATCCACCATTATAGACTTTAGCAATGGAGAATAATAGGTGTCAAATTTTCTAGAGTTTTTAAAAAAATTGATCAAGTTATTATTTTGAAAAGTAGTCAACATCATTGTTTGTGAGTTGATTAATATATATAATAGTGCGAAAAATCAGCCGTAGATATCATGGATATGTAAAATAGATTTATTTGCCGATTAATTCAATGACTATAATAATAAGAATATTAAATTAAAAAAGCAGGAATTAAAAAACTACAAAATTATGAGCGAATACCACCAATGCAAAGCAAAAATAGGTCGCCAGTAGAAAAAATAAAACATTTTTGCTCGAAATATAGAAATAAATAAGACAAATCTTTATTTTGGTGATCAATTATCTTCGAATACTACTATAGTCTATGAAGGATTTTGCACTTCACCTATTTTGTATAAGTTCTATAAGGTTACAGAAATATATGTGAGTTCCACATTCCAGCCCCAAACGGGCTACGCTAACAAGCTTTTTCTTACATAGTTAATGTAAGGACAAAGCAGATACCGTGCTCTACATACTGATCAGAATAATTGCTTATTACAACTTACCAAAAGGTAAATGATCAAACCTGGTCACTATATTGCGTCACTTTAAACGGATAAGCAGAGGATCTAAAAATAAATCTAGATATTTTTATAAAATTCTGTTTAACTAAAATTCGATAAAACAAGTCATACGATCTTCTTTAAATACAAATAATTTGCAATAATCGTTGTTTTCTCATTCGAAAAATAGAAAACTAATGTTAAAAATATTTTTTTGTTGACAATTTAATTACATGCTTCAATTAAAGGTTATTCATGCATTCATCGAATATGAATAAATAATTTGTCATTTTCTATTCTTGTAGTAACAAAACAATAAACGAAGTATCCTTTGGTTATCGTCGTCGTATTTACTGATATGTGTTAGTAGCTTCCATTATTACCTTTCTTCTACTTGGGATACAGTGATCATTAGTGCGACATGTAGAAAGAAAATAAAATGGAAGAGAAATAAACAGAAAAATGAAGGAAAGAAAAACTGAAAAAAAAAGCGGCAAGGTCCTACATATATGTATATTTCTGTATATAATGAGAAAATTCTTGTAGTTTTGATAAATGCGAAGACGAAAGATGGCGTAACCAAAAACACATATATGCACAAACAATGAATATATATCGAGCCCGAAGGTATTCTAATAGAAAAGAGAGAAAAAAAGAAAAAAAAACAGCGAAAAAAAGAAAAAAAACAGAGAGAAAAAAAGAAAAGGAAGCATCTCATATTACTCAATAATTGTCAATGAAGCAAAGACAAAATATATTGAGTTATTAGTTTAAAGAAGATATTTTTTGTTCATAAATGAATTAATACTTGGTAGACTATTTGTTTCAATAAGATCATCATTATCATAACGATATGTATTTAGTGATGGTAATATATCTTCTTGTTTGAATAATGAATTTGTTAAATTTATCGAATTACTTATCGACGGAAGAACACTACGCATTTGATATGTTGATATATCAACTAAAAACAAACAACATGCAGAGTTGATATAATTAGAAAAAAGAAACAATAATAAAAGTTTACATCCAATCGATGGAACAAGAATACTTCTATGTTGATTATCATTATCACTATATTTTGAATATTTTCTTTTTTCTAAATACAAAGAATTCTTTTTTTTTCAAATGGGCATTTAATATAGAATTTGATTTACTTGATTCAGGAACATAGGATGTTGAATGTTGTGTTGTTAGTGAATTTTCACTACTAGTTGGATGTTGAATGTCATCATCTGAAATGAAATTTACTGCGTAATTTAGATATCGAATGTGTGAAACGCATATTAGTCATCGTGAAAAGGTTGTTTATGTTTTTTTTTATTACCTCTAATTACTAGTGATCGTTTATTTCAGATATATAGTCATATTAATCAAAACACTAAATTTAGATCTCAAGACAAATTAACAACTAGTGTGCAGATAAAATCGAGTAAAATTAATCATTTGATTTCATGTGTGTATTCAATACATTGTTCTAGGTCAACATGAACTCTATTCAGTAATATTATACAAACAGCACGATATCTTGATTAATGCAAGAACTATTCTTGTTCCTTTTCTTTCATTTCGATTAGAATAAGCCATATAAATGACGGTAACGAAATTTTTCATTTGACTTGCTATGTATTAATTTTCAAATTTATGATGCTCATAAAAACAAAAATATTTCATTATCTCAGGATATAGATGTGCACGGTAAACTTTCTTCTTGTCCAAATTGATAAAATAATTTCAAATCATGACCTTGTTCTACAGTACCTCTAACACAAACCGTCAGATGCAAAATTAAAGGATACATATCCGAATTATTGAATCTTTTTTGAACTCCGATTTAATTAACAGGAATTTTAGGATCCAAACTTCAGTATAGATCCGAGCAGATTCAGAACCAACATAATGAGTTGTCAGTTTTATTCTAACCTGCAAATCTCTATCTGAGACCTCTTATTATATTTCGTCAAGACTATGACTCGTTTCATCAGAAGTCTTACCTCCTGCAATATTAGGATGTGGGTGTGGGTGTCCATTAAGTTTTCACCAACATTCAGATTCACACCCACACACCCACACCCGTCTCGTACTTAACTCAATCAAGAGTGAGTACAACAATTTAAATTTTTGTTTGTATACTCGTGTTAAATGTGTCTCACTTTTCAATATTTTGTGTTTCTGATTATCACCTCAAATCTTGCAGACGCTCAGAAGCGCGTCTCAATTGAAGGGGGAAATGTGCCAATGGGCATATCATCTTATGTGATATCTTTACTTTCTCTATGTGGTGTTGTGTAATCGATATTATGTAGTTTGCACAATCGCGTTACTCTTACGCTTATCTATGCACGATTGAACCTTGTTCTCTTTCTATCGTAATGCGCTTCTCATTCTGTATCACCATTCACTCGTATATTATATGTATTGCTCTCATCTATGTGTTCTTACTCTATTGTTCTTCTATATCTGTTCTCTCCTTGGCCTCATCACTTGTTCATTCTTACATTGTTCTCTCCTTGGTCTCATCATCTTTCTTTTCATCATCTCTTATTCTACTTGTGCATATAAATGTGTGCTTTATATGTAAACGATAGAGTAAATGCCCCTAATATCGACAGCAAAAATTGTTTTTTCTTGTTTGAGTCCGTGCACAGCTATTTTATATATGAAATAAAATATTTTTATATATGCATAATCCCTGGATCTTGCTCTTTCAAATGGTATATAAATAATCTTTTTTCTTCAATGTTTTCACGGAGAAATTAGCGGTCTACGATGATGAACTGCATCTGTCGTTATTAGAAGCACTTTCCCTAATATCGACAGCAAGCCATTTTTTGTCCCTAATATCGACACTTATACAAAATTCAAGCAAAATACAATCTTTTGAGAAGAAACAAGTTTTTTACGTCTTTTGATCAGAAAACGAGCAAAGGTCATCTGAGCAATTTTGTAGAGCATGTCAAGATCTATCATAATCTAAAGGTTCATAAAAAACGAATTTGTTTCTAATGAGTAAAATAAGTTGAGAGGAAGATGTCTAAAATCAATGAAAAAAAAATGTCCCTAATATCGACACCAAGCCATTTTTTGTCCCTAATATCGACACCAAGCCATTTTTTGTCCTTAATACCGACATCAAGCTATTTTTTGTCCCTAATATCGACACCAAGCCATTTTTTGTCCCTAATTTCGACATCAAGCTATTTTTTGTCCCTAATATCGACACCAAGTCATTTTTTGTCCATAATATCAACATCAAGCCGTTTTTTGCCCCTAATATCGATACCAAGCCATTTTTTGCTCCTAATATCAACACCAAGCCATTTTTGTCCCTAAGTTCAACACATCATTACAAAGCTAATATCAAATCTCTTAGCGCAGTCCGTGCGGAAATAAAATGTGAAACAAGAAATAGCTGTTGTAATGCCAATTACTAATGTCTTCTACCATTTGTGGGAAGGGAAGTGGATAAAAATTTTTTACCCACATATACTTCAAAATTTCTTTTAGTTTGTGTTTCACAAA